AAAGCCCTGCGAACCGCTTTTGGCGTAGCTACCGCCGGCCCCGCCCACCAGGGAACCCGGCAACCTGTGGGTGGGGGCGGGGCAGCAGCCTGGGCATGGCGGAGGGGGGTGACACAAGGGGCCTTTGCTCCCAGCTGAGAAGAGGCCCCTGGGGGAACTGACTAGCCAGCCCCAAGGTCCTTGCTGCCAGCTTGCGTGTGTATATACATATTTATATGTGTGTGTGTGTGTATATATATATATAAAAAAGAGATAAGTCTTTCGCAGTCCGAAGCGCAGACTTTAAGAGCAATGCCAAAAATCATGACAGTTGGCAATACCTCCAGTGCAGCAGTGCTGTGGCTGCTTCCAGGCGGGGAGGAGAAAGGGGGAGGGGGGTGGATTTTAGGTGATCTCTTTATATGAGATGGTTTGAGAGAGGTTTTTGGCACACATGGTGCCCTTCCTCAGGTCTGGGAGAGCAGCAGCGGTGAGGAAAAGCGGCTTGTGTTTAGCTGCATAAGGTCCTAGTGGGGGATCGACGGGAGCCACTTCAGCGTAGTGATCCCTGGTAACATCTCTGACGGCCAAGAGCTCCCAAATTGACAAAAACACCAAAGAGCACAAAGAGAAAGATATGGATGTTGTTTTTGTCACACGAAAGAAGAAGAAGAAAGTCCTAGGAAACAAGGCTGGCCTATATGATGCATATGGGAGAAGGCAAGTAAGGCTGGAAGGGACCTCATGAGGTCACCAAGTCCAGGCCCTGGCTGCGAGCAGGATCATCCCTGATTAAAAAGCATCTCAACCGAGTGTCTGCCCAATCCACTCTTGAAAACTTCCAAGGATATGTAAATATATGCCAGATAAATATGTAAATACAAAACAAAGTAGGAAAAAGGTCCAATACAAGATTCCACCAAAAAGAAAAAAAAGTAATTGCTTCTCACATGTTTCCCAGACCCACACAGCTATGCTGCAACCCTGCCATGATGTCTAGGCTGGGAGGCAACAGGGGGCTAGTGCTGAACTGGAAGAAGCAGAGCCACATCCATGCAGGGTCGTGCTCTGCCTCTCAGCACTGCCTGAATGTAACCTAATGGTACAGAGTAGGTCTGCTGAGAGATGCAGCAGATCATCCTGGAAGCATTGCCCTGTGAACGTGCTGGGCTCCATTCTAGAGGTAACCCACGGCCAGGGACCTACCGAATTCATGGCAGAAGTGGGGTGCACGGCAACTCCTTTAATCTTTCATGTTCCCCCACATGCCCCTCCCCCTCGCTGCTGATTGGCAGAGAGGCCCCACCGCTCCCTCCTGATCGCCAGGGAAGCAAAAACCACGGTTTTAAACATGGCGTGGTTTTTGCCTCCCCGAAGGCAAACAGCGTGGAGTGGTTTTTGCCTTCCCAACAACAAGCATCCGGGCCACCAGGGCCCCTCAGCCAATGAGCGGTGGGAGGTAAAAAAGCATCCTATTTAAAACCATGGTCTTCGCCTCTGTGCCGATCAGAAGTGAGCTGCAAGCATGGCCCCCCCACCAATCAGTGGTGGAGGGGCACACAGGGGGACCTGCAAGATTAAAGGAGCTGCCACACACCCCACTTCTAAGGAGGCTTTCCTACTTGCAGGGGAAAACCACTTTTCTGGCAGGGGGGTAGTACTCTGGCCAAAGTAATGCCTCCCACTTTCACTTCCAGTGGGAAGATCTTGGCTATATGCTGACTCTATGGAAATGGGATATTCCTTCCTAGCTTGCTCCTGTGGCCATACAGCTGAGGTTAAGTGAAACTCAGGGCCATCTGAATCCCAAGCCTCTGGGTTTGGGCCTGCACCTAGGATTCCTGCCAAAAGATTTGGAAGCATCTGAAGCACCAGGCGGGGGTGGAGGATATTTGCTGGTAGCAGGGGCACATATGGTTCTTGAATGACTCATGGATTTGAAATTGATTTGGCTGATTTGGCTTGGAACACAGTTTTTTTAAGGAAAAAAGCACTTCTGCCATGAATTTGGTAGAATACCCATGGCACTTCCATATGATACTATGCTGAAACACCTTAGTTCTGTTTCTCAGCAAACTATGGCAAGTACTGTCATAACAATGGCATAAAGTACTGCGAGAATACATTTGTTGTTATTGGCCCCAACAAATGTTTGCTACATACTATGGGAATACAGCAACCAAAACTGGAAGTGCTGCAAACTGCTGCTAGTCCCAAGGTGCATGGAGTGCTAGGGGCTGTGTTACACATTTTGTTCACTGAAAACTGGCACTGTAACTCCCCTGCCATTTGTTGTCTGTCTGTTTTAATAACATCAGGAAGAACTCAGCAGCATCACAAACATAAACAAAACTACAGGGCAGAT